CGTCTGCAAGGCCACGACGCACGAGGTGATGGGCCCCAAGAAGAAGCACCTGGACTGTGAGTAGGGCGGCGGGTGGGGCCGCGGCCGGGGCCGGTTTCTGGGCGCTCTTCTGCCCGCCTGCGCGGAGCCGCTCACGCGTTTCCAGCCTTTCCCGAAATATCGTGGCTTTCCGTCTCGCAGCTTTGGTAAAAACACTTGAGGCGCGGTAAAGGGAGGCGAGAAGCGGACCGACACGTCTCTCCGAGGCGGGAGTCGGTGGCTGCCGCGTACTCGGGCTGTTAATACGCCTTTCTGTATGGCAAAGCACGTAAATGGCTGCCCCTAAAATCTACCCGGCGTCGGCAGTGCTGCTTTGTTTCGGTTTTTAATAACTGGCTCGCAGCTGAAGTTACTGCTGGTGTCGCCCGGGAGCCCAAAAGTGCATTGGGTGCTTCAAAACTTGGGTGTTGTGTGGCGTACCCGCTCAGCGTCTGTTAAAAGTGAAGGTAGCGCGTGTGTCTTGGTTAGGGAGGGGAAGGAAATAAAGCATGAAACTGTACGGTGGTTTCTTCAAAGTCAAGGGAGCAGGCTGGTAGCTGCGCAGGGCTCTTTCAAGTTGGTGGTACTAAGTGTCTGCTGATCTAATTTCTCAGAAAAGGCGTACTGCGTTGAGTTGTCGAGGACAGTCGGGCGCTCTGGTGCTGTGGCACTCGTCCGTTGGTACGGGCGTCTTGCATGAGAGCTGTTGAGACGGATCAGATAGTTAAAAAATAAAAGCAAGCAAATACGTATTTCATTTGTTAGTGATCCGAGTGACTGGAAGCCAGCTACAGTGGTAAATATTGCAGCTGCTGTGTTGATGCTAAAAGCCTTAGGACTGGGTAACTTACCTCCGATTGCTCTTCTTCCTTTAAGATACTTGTCTCATTGCACCATTAGTTTATTTTGTGTTATTTTCTGCCTGTGGTGGAACATCTTAATGAGGTAACCCTGAAGTCCAGAAATGGCAATGTAACAGGAAGCCAGAATGTGGTGATAGCTTGCTCAATACTTCAGAAGTTTCTGAAGCTTGCAAGAAGTAGTATACCTACTGCTTTTAAGAGTATTGAAAAATACCCTTAAAATAGTGTCACCTAATGTAACCTGCCAAAATAAGAAAACGGGAAAACTGGAAAAGCTCTCAGTGTAGTTTGACAGTAACGTAAACTGAGATTGGGTTGTGACTATCAAATTCCTTTGGCTATCTCTTGATACAAACCTCTGTTTAGAGCTGTCAGTTTCCTGAAGGACCTCCTGTACTGAATGAGTTCTGTGTTTTGGTATAATTCGCTTATACTGACTTTTGTCCAAGACAGATAACAAGCATGTTATTCTAACTGCTTATCTGAAACAGGAGAACGTTTTGGTGGGGTTGGAGAAAAGAGGGTGTGAAATGTGGTGCTGCAGATATATCCATAAGGGGCTTTAAAAAAATCCCGGTGAACAGTAGAAAATATTCCTTGCGCATGTCCAGGCTTCTTTTCAAACGTCTGCTGAAATAGCTGGATTAAAGCCTTTGTGTGGCACTTATTAATTTTTTGCTTGTACACCTGTACACAAAACTTACCTGTATCAAATACAAGCGGGTATGATACTAGTTTAAACACTATTGTCTCTGAAATGATAACAGTTTTATATTTTCAAAGATATAGTGCAAATGCTTTCTAAGTTAAGTAAAATATAAATTAAAACAACTTGGATCTAATCCTGCAAGTTGCACCTTGGTCCCCGCACGTGTGTATCATTAAAAATGCTGCACCATCTGGTATTACTTGTAATTGCTGCTCAACAAAAAACTTGACCGAGAACATGTTCTTGAGAGTTGCTACAGTTGCATCAAGGAACATGGGGGAATTTCAGTCAGTGTACTCGGTTCAGGTTAATTTCTAAAATCTCCTTATTACCATTTTCTTTAGTTTTAAGGAAAAGTTAATGTTACAGTATGGGTATTAATGGGGAAGACATTATGCATGCAGCATGTGAGCTGATATTCCAGAGTCTGGGAGTTTGTCTGGCTACTAACTGCTGGGTACTATAGTCACACTTTCTCAAGGAGCACCGAAAAAAAAAAAAAAAACCTTAAGCAAAGTGAATGTGAATACTTTTTTTTTTTTTTTAAGTAGGTCAATGTCCTAAATAAATCAGCAGATCTATTTCTGTAATATTTTGTAGTATTCTAGGATAAAATGAAATGTTATACAGCGGTGGTTCTTTTCTCCTTAGTGGAGCACTTGAAGGTCTCTTCTTGTCTTCCCCAATACCTTTGTTCTCTCACTTCCCTTCTGCCTCCTAATTTTGGGTTGCAGCAGAGTGGGGCTAGATGCTTCTTTTGGTGATGTCTCTATTCTTGGCTAATTGCTGAAAAGCTATAGTAGCTGCAGCAAAGCTGGTAACTGACAGACTAGACTTACCTGTAGACCAAAATTCAGTAGAGCAGAACCAATTTTATTCTGAACTTTTAAGTGAACACAGTAAACCGGAGTTGCTTGTTCTTCCTTATTAATTCATATACAGCCCAGCTAAGAAACGAATGGGAGGGAAGGTAGTTAACATTGCTCATTGAAACTTAAAACTACTATGCATATACAGGCTTTGGAAATGCTGTCAAAAGTGGTAATTCAGGTACAGTAAAGTTGTGTCATGTAACAGAATCAGGCTTCATTCTTTGTGTGGGTGAAAGTTCAGGTCTCGGCCAAATCATCGTGGATTTAAACTTTTGTCAGTAATGTCAAATAGACTGTCCCATTTTGGGGATGTTCTTGTACGTCTGCCCATTCGCGCTCCTGGCAGCTAGAGCTCATGACTGTCTGGTGCGTTCTGATGCAGTGTGGTTCTTGGAGATATGCAAGTTGGGAAACAGCACAAACAAATGTTCTCAGACTCTTCCAGGGGCAGTAAGGCAATTCTCTTTAATCTGAAGTTCTTTATTAAACTGTGAAGCTTTTCATTACAGTATTTGAGGAAATTTGACTCGAACCAGGACAAAAATTAGAATTAATGTTGTTGGAATCTATAAGTGTTCTTTGCTTTAGCAGTTATGTGAAGCTTTTTAAAAAGCTTTATGGGCCATCTTGTGCCCTTGTTTAGTAGGGAGGGAGTAGGGCAGGATAGCTGAATTACCTTACTTCCAGTAAATATAACTCTGTAAGATGGTACAGATGTAACTCTTATTAAAAGACTGCTGTGAGATCTGCAGTATAAGAGCATATGGACATAATACTTGTATCATTCAGGTGCTATCTCTTAATTAAGCCTCCAGCAAGAATCATTACATTCCTTAGGCTACACTGAGAAAATTTGTGTGTGTGATTTTTCTTTTACTTTAGTTTGCAGTACAACTTCCAAGTAAGAAAATGTCATCTTCTACAGACTGCTGGGGTTAAGGTAACCACACTTGGAATTCTTGCATCTACCTGTCTTAAGCAGTTTCAGTTCTGTGACAAAAATGGAAGAAATACAGGAACATTAAACAATTACGGCTGTCTTTAACTGATATACTTGCTGTTCCCTTAAAAGATGTAGTCGTGAACCACGAAAGCAATAACTCCTGATATTTAAAAGTTGAAAAGTGTGTCAGTTTTGTCAATGATTGGCTGAGAAATTTCCAAAAAGAACTGCAGGTGTTTTGTTTGTTTGTTTTGCTTTTAATATCTGGATTTAGGTACTCTTCTCTGGAGAACTGTCTGACTTCATAGCTGATGTGCCAGTGTTTCAGAGGAGCTGCGGAGGAGAAGTTCTGAGTACTCTTCTAGGCAGCGAGATCTCCACAGCTCTGCCAGCTGCCTGAATTCCTCTGCAGGACTCCTCTGACTTAAAGCTGTTTGATTTTTGCTGCATAGTGCTAACAAGTTTCCGAATTCCATTCTAGAAATAGCAGCGCAGTTTCACTTGCAGTTGAAATGATTCCTCGAGGTAGCTGGCAAAGTGCTTTGAGTTGTGAAGTGTTTATAGAAGAATTGTGATTAAAAAATAAGCATCACTTGCCCTATGCATTTCACTGCATTCTTTGCTGCCAGTAGCTTTTTCAAGCTAATCCATATTATAGCTGTCCAGCTGTCAGTCTCTCAGGTGTGTATGTGTTCCTTTACACCTCCAGATGCATGGTGGTAATAGTCTTTTTCCTGTACTACTTCCCGCTTTTACAAATCCATACTGCTGTTTCTATGTAAATATTCCTGTTGCGGATTTAAAAGAATCATGTTTGTGAGATGATGGTTGCATTTTTTTTGTTACATAGCTTGAATACTGTAATTCCAATGTGATGCTATTTGATATTACTACTACTGAAAATTTTCTTTGAGTAGCCTTATTGAAGAGTCTCTTTAAAGTTAGATTTTTCAAAATGCTTTATGAAAGACAAGTTTTAGCCTATAAAATGCCCTGAAATTTTTTGTCCCCAGTATTTTTTTCTGAAATTAATATTTTGGAGAGATTTCTTTTCCCTGAGCAGATGTACCTTGGTATTGGCTCACCGTGGCTTGTGCTTGCGCGTTCAGAGAGAGTCTGGAGCCACAGACCTCAGTGGTGTTAAGTGATAAGTGCCCTCGATATGAGTTGACCTCAGAGGAGCCAGTATGTGTCTTGATAACCTCAAGCAGGTGGATCTTGCACCTCACTGAGGCCCTCTAACCTCAAGTAGAGCTTGAATTGGTTTCTGAGTAGCCCTGTGTAAGTGAAATAATACCTTTTCCATACCTGTTAAAATGGTCAGACTCCAGTCTTACGCAAGGAAGAAGTTCGTCCTGGAAAGCCTTGCTAGCACTGTTACAGAACTGCTGGAGCTGTACTCATCAGTTGTATGGAACCACACTTTGGGAAGAAGGATAATATATGAAGTTCCCAAAGGCACCGGTTCTGTCAGCCTCCCCTTCGTCATTGTCACGTGGCGGAAGGTGTCGTTTAGTCCTGAGGACCAGAGCAGGAGGCAGTTAGCAGTTTTGAAGGCTGAATGACTTTCTGTAGCAATAAAATTATGATGGCAAAATAAATACAAACTGAATGTGTTTTTGTTTTTGTTTTGTTTTTCGTTGAGGTAGGGCTTGGAGAGGTGATTAGTTACAACAGTTGATATAGTTGCTAACAGTAGGGTTGCTATCACAAACCATCATGGCTGAGCAATGCTGTAAGAACACGTTTCATGTCAGTGTCAGACGTAAGTCGGACATCTCCCAGGGGTTCAGCGTCCTTTTAGTGTTTACTGGAACAGCTGCTGGCAGACCTTAGCTGAGGGAACTTGAGAAGACTGAACTCTCTCCATAAAGTGTTCTAGCAAAATGAGTTAAGTTATTTTGGCTACTGTTTCACTCTTTTAGAGCAGAAGGTTGGTTGTTCTTAACTTGCATCTCCCCTCCCAATTTCATTTGTTATAAAAAATGCACTCTTAATGCATTTTTTGGAGGAAAAGGTTACTGAATGTGCAGAAACATTACTTTCGGTCAGCTGTCTGTGTGGTCTTGGCCTCAACAGATCAATGTAACTTCTATGGTAGTAATGTTACAGGTATTGCTCAGTGTAGTGGTTGTATGCATGTTGGTTTTTTTTTTTGTTCTTTTTTTGTAAGCTGAGAACTCCTTTATGACTTGTAACAATTTTGTAACGTTTCTCTGCTGGTTACAGAGTCTTCACTTATATGAAAAATACTGAGTTAGTTCTATCAGTAATATCTTTATAATGCTTGCTTATTAACTGATTGGATGTAGGAAAACTTATTTGCCCTAATGTGTGTTGAGAGAATTACTTAGAAATGTCATAACGAAGTTGTCATTCAGTAAATGAGGCTTTTGAATTAAAATCCAAGTTTTCTCTATATATGAAGCAAGTCCCCCTTTTGGGACTTATTTTATGAAGCAGTAAGCCTTTATGCACTGTTTGGACTTCTGGAAGTTTTAGAATACTTTTTTAAAGATTGTAATTTGACACAGCATCTAACAATGATACAGCTGTGAGTGGTGAGTAACATGCCTTGTTTTTGAGAATCTTTATTTTTTTTTACAATGAAACATTTTAATACTACTTAGGAATAAGCTTTTGATGTGTAACTTATTTAAAACTTCTTTTCCGGGTTTGTCGCTTTGTACTATTGTTCCAGCCCTTTAGTGTAGTGTTAATAAGGGCAACAGTTTTCATCCCAGCTTGCGTGTTTCCTACGTATTACGAAACCTGTGACATCAGTGTAAATCAGTAAATTATTAGATGCTTCTTATAGTATCTTCTTGAGGCAGAAGACCATCTAAAATTCTTTTTCTGCTTATTAAATTATTCAAAGTAAACATTAGTGAGCCTTAATCATAGGACTTTGAAATTATATTCCTATTAAACAGAGTTATAATTAGGATATGTGTAATGTGTTCTGTGTTCCAGAATAGATAGAAGTGTGAAGTGCAGTATTTCTATAAGGCATTCTGTCCTGAGCTGTCAATACATAATCTCTAAATTCCTGTTTAAATTGCTTGTGATAATGTGGTCTGTCTTCTACTCATGCCTAATGAGGTAGATGGGTAGCTGATTTGGTCCTTTTCGGGGATACTGACATGTCGGTGTTCAGCTGTTGCCCAGCTTCCTAAGCAGCTGCCCTTCTTCAAGTACTTACACAAAAAAAGCACGTCAGCAGTGATGCTGCTCTGCAGCTAACAGGCTGCTCAGAAACTTGGCTTAAATACCAGGCTACAGAGGAAGCTTTTCAAACTAGATGTTTGTTTTGCAAGTCTTGCCCGGTCCCTAAGATATACTTTGATCACACCTGAGCCAAATTTAGCTCAAGAGAGAATTAAGTGTCTAATAGTAGGGCGTGGTCTTGAGGGGGTTAGAATAGTTCTGGGTTCACTTCTTTGCTCTCTTCTCAGCAAATGCCTTAACTACTGTTCTTGGGCAGGTTTTCTTCCCATGTATCTGCTGAAGCCTCTTCTATGTTTGTGCCAGTAAATATTGAAGCAGAGACTTGAAGGTCTCTGACTCTGGCCTCACAAGTTAATGTTTTATTATTGAGCTATAGTTGGTCTTTGACACAGTGTTTATGCAGAAGCTTGAGACCTGCTATGATCCGTGACAAAACGCTTAGCAGGTTGGTGCTTATGTCAGTTGAGCTAAGTGGAAAGCAACGTAGACTCGGATTCTTTCTCTTGAATCTCAGAAAAGAGGCTTAGCGCAGGTTTGTAGTATCCCACTTACTGTGATGTATGTCAGTACTCAGGCTTAGATTCTGGCTGTAGGACACTTGCTTCCTGTTGATCTCATGCGATGTAGGTGTCTCAGCTTTTCTTCTCTTCTCTGCTTTTCAGTTTTGGTTAGATTGAGTGGCTTCAGGCAGTTGGATACCCAGAATATCTGCACTGGCTTTCAGACTGTAATTTGGGGCTAGAGTTTCTGCTGGAGCAGGTTATTTACTGATGAGGTATTAGGACTCTGTAAAATTGGTGGAATGCCTTTGAAGTTCATATTCTGAGTCTGTCAGTAAAATGCAGTGAATGTGAGCAGTGAGTGTAAAATAATTTCAGTTCTTTGTTAAAGAAATAATGAAGCTAACACTTCCAATATGAATCTTTTGTGTGAAAATACAAAATAACATGATTATCCTCTTTGAGTATATGTCTCATTGTAATGCTTTGACTTTTTTCTTTAATTTAGATCTAATACAATGCACAAATGAAATGAATGTGAATATTCCACAGTTGGCAGACACGCTTTTTGAGAGAACTGCAAACAGTAGCTGGGTTGTAGTGTTCAAAGCTCTAATTACAACGCACCACCTCATGATGTATGGAAATGAGGTAAGACATAGTTTTATTAAGGCCTCCCTGACAATATTTTAGGAAGCTTTCTCAGTCAATCTATGAAGCATTACATGTGTACTTCAATTTTTTTCAAAGTTCTCCCCCTCCCCCCCCAAGTTGGCTGTAAAGTACTTCCCCAGAGAAGAAGTAATGCTTGATTGTTTCAATACTGAAACAATTCAGTGTTTGCAATTAGACTGCAGGTATCAGGTTTGGACTGTGAGGGAATGCTAGACTGGCCTTTCTAGAATAAAGACTTGAAAGACTTCTGATGAGCTTTACTTCATTAGTCTAGTGCTTATTAGTAAAAGCACAGCACAAGTCTTGTTAGCTTTCCATAACTGCACAGGCAATCTATGAGCAGATAAGAATATTTATTGGAAGGAATAGGGTGACTAGACTATTTAGTCTTGAAAATCATTGTCCAATAGGCAGAATTCTCATATGTTTCTGCCCTTAACATTCATCTGAAACTGTTTTCTGTTGTATTTATTTCACTTAAATTATTTCAGCAGTGCTTATGTTGAGTATGGTTTTAGAAATGTAATCACGTGGTACTAGAAATATAGTCTTTCTTACACAGTCCTGTAATTAAAAACGAAACTTTATCTTGATCAGGTAGCAGTTTAGTTCTTAACTTGTGTAGATCCATTCTCTTAACTGTCAAGTACTTATTGTAGCTACTGGTAACATTGGGATGATAATTCTCAGTGGTACTGCTTCCTGCCCTTAAACTGCTCTGAAAAGCTAGTGTTGCCTGCCTTCTCCAGTTTCCTGGTGGCTTAATGAAGTGGTCCATAAAACATAGTGTATTCCATGTTACAATTCCCCATGTTATTTACATGTTTACATTGTAGCTGGAAAAGATAATAGGCTGAAATTAGGGAGTAATCAGCAGTGACTTTCAATGCTCAGAATAACAATAAGGCTAAATTGAATACTGTAAATCAGTATGTATATTTTGGTGTCTCTTCTTCAAAGACAGTTCATATCTCTCCACTGAAGTTTGGAAGAAACAAAAGCCGGCAACTGGACCATAGAAAAAGAATTCAGAACTTAGAGTCATAGGCTACCAGTCAGCATCTATTTGGCCTTGCAGCATTTCGTAGTAGAAGACAGACTTGGGTTTTGTCTGTACCAAGAGTACCCCTCAATTTTGAATAAATGCATTTAAAACTTAAATTTCTTAATGTGTGCTGGACTCCTATAGCTAAAACATTATTTCTGTGATTTCAGGTGGAACCCAAGTGTACTCCTCACTCTTCTAAGATATGAAAGGAATATCTTAGAAGACACTTTTTTTTTTTTTCCGTTAGCAGGAAAAAAAACACCTTATCAGTTGTTGAACTTCTATTTTAAGTGCAAGGAAACATAGCAGAAAGTCAGAATGATGTCTGAGCAATTGCTGCCTTGCAGTTTCTTGTTCAGCATGGCTACCTGTTTCTTGTGAGTTTTGGATGGAGGAGGTTAAACCTCTTCTTACCTGTGCTTTGTGTAATGCAAGACCTGTTCAGCCATAAGCCCTGGATTGCAACAGCAATCGTTGGTAGTCCCCTTTCTGTAGCGTGTCAAATGCATTAGTAAACAGATCCCTGTAACTGATCAAAAGCATTGCTTCTTGGTAAATTGTTCATCCCTTGACCTGTCTGTTCGAGTTTTACCTTGTGATTGGTAGCAAATCTGAAAACATCGATCAGGATCTTTTTGCGAGTTATTTGACAGTACGTAGTGAAGCACTGAAATAAACATACTTCTTTAAATCCATAACATGTTTCATGAAAAAATTTCATGTAAGCTCTTGAAGTAGAACTAGCAAGTGTTCTGCGCATCACTATGTAAACAAAGAGTGGTATTCAGAAAGACTGATCTCTTTACGCTTCATAATGGAAGAATGCTCATCCAGAGGGTGTTTCAAAATGGTAGCCTAGTTAAGCATTTTGGATTGGTGCTTGGAAGACGATAGTTAGTCTACGCCCTCCTAGAATATGATTCAGAATACTAGCTAAATTTCAAATGTGTATATCCTCCTGAATATCAGTGTTCTGTTCCAGATCATCTTGCAACTGTTTCTGTTCTTCTATATCTCTTTGAGTGCAATAATGAGATGTACCAAGACCAGATAAAACACTTCCTCAAAAAACAGAATAAGAAGTTAAAACAATGCCAGAACTGTTGGCAGTAAAGCTGTTAACTGTAGACTTGTCAGAACTCTCTCTTACTGTAGGCTGGAAATCTGTGTGAAATTAGTGATGAGGTAGAATGTGACACGTTGGGGAATCATCTGAGCCTCTCAGAAGAGGGAATTTAGGGAAGGGGGAAGTACTGCTTATGGTTTAAATCGTGTTTGTGAGAAGAGAATTTTTCTGTCACTGTGCTAAGCCCTTATTGCAGCTCCCAAAGAGCAGACCCTATACCAAGCCTGGCTGAAAAAAGGTGAGTTTCTGTGCAGCATGCTGTAGTCCAGGCCTTGCAAACACTTGAAATTCCACCATGAAAAGTGAAAGAAGAGGGCCTTCACTTTTACAACAGCAGAGGGACTCGGATCAGAGGTGTAACAAGCCCCATACACCATACTAATCACAATGCCAATTTATGGACTAAAACATATATGTAAAGATGTATGAAAGTGTAGGAATTGCGATCATGGGAGATAGCGTGGATGGAAAAGTGGCAGAGAAACTTTAAAAACTGCCTTGCTATCTGGATTTGTGGTCTCTTACTTGTGCCTCATCTGTTAAGCCAGCTATTATTTGTCAAAACTTAAATGTTTAACCAGCTCAGTGCATTGTAATCTGAGACTGACTACACCAACTTTAGTGCTTTTATTCACCACAGTTGTAGAAGCATTATAGTTACTAATTACTCTTTAAACTTGGTAACTAAGCTCGTCTCTATCTTCATGGGCAATGAAGTCATCTTATTTAAACTAAATTTGTATTTTTACTGAATATCCATTTCTGCATTTCAGTTAATCATTACAGATTTTGTTTTTTTTAATTTTTGTCTTGTAACCAATTTGTATTCATGGAGGTTACTAGAAAGAGTTTCCTGTGGTTTTCTGTACTATGTTTAAATGTTTTATCTGTCAAAACAACAAAAGTGATACTCGACTTTTTCTCTACCAACAGCGCTTTATCCAGTATCTTGCGTCCCGAAACACTTTGTTCAATCTTAATAACTACCTGGACAAAAGTGCCATGCAGGGTAAGGACCTTTCACTGAAGGAAACAAGTCTGCTGCTTTTTTTGCTAGTGTTAGTACCTCTGTCACTGCATGCTAAGAGAGAAATGACTTTTGTATGAAAAGGGTTTTACAATTTATATTGCATGAGGCACCAAAAATGTTAGTAAATGCAAGAAATGGGGAAAGTGAGATGCTGAGTTACCCAGCTGAATGCTGGAAACTTGCCTAGAATATGTGTATCATGCACTTACAGAGCTATAAACTAAAAAAAAAGTGAACTCTGAAGCTGTCTAGAATAAACCTGATGAATGTTAGCGCACTGATCTATTTTTGCCATTGCATTTTAGTGTTTCCAGGAGTAAATATGAACTGTTGAGGTGCATGGGATGGTAACTAACTGTGCTGTATAGATAGTGAGAACTCATTCAAATCTCAGAGGGCTTCGGATTACTTGCCGGTGGTGGAAAATATATTTAGGTCTTTTCGTGGTTTTCTGAGGCATTGCAGTTAAGTTAGTGAAGCCTTTAGCATTTTATCAGGAATATATTTCCAGTGTGATTTCTAGAACACACAGTTAAGAGCTGCTTAGTAATTGCCTAATATTTGATATGCTGTAGGTAATTTCTTACAACTGTCATGAAAACTTTCTTAGTCTTAGCAAGTTGGGAAGAATATAGCTCTAACGCTGCATGTCAAAGTGAAAATAGTGAAGCTCAAGATTCTTGAATTTGCCCGTGAAGTACTCTTTATATGCAGATTGATGTGAAATGGACAAATAAGAGAATACTACTGGAAAAAGACTTTTAAAAAGCATACATCTTCAAAATGTCTGACTTACAAATGCTTAATTTTTAGGCTATGATATGTCTACCTTCATTAGGCGGTATAGCAGATACTTGAATGAAAAAGCACTTTCGTATAGACTTGTAGCAGTTGACTTCACCAAAATGAAAAGAGGGTAAGCCTATTGCTGCTTCTTTCATTGAGGTTTTTCTTATGGGGAGAAAATACCAGTTGTCCTTGAACTTGTCATGCACTGGTATTGATTCTGATCCTGCAGATAACGTACCATTGCTGAAACAACATAATATGCCGAAGTTTCTCGGCAAGCTGTAAACATGTGTTTCCTACTCTGTAGGATAGATGGAGTGATGAGAACCATGAATGCTGAAAAGCTTCTGAAAACCCTTCCGATCATACAGAACCAGCTTGATGCACTCCTTGATTTTGATGTAAGTATGTTAAGCTGAGTGTTAGGCAACACTCTTATTTTGAAGCAAGATCTTCATTATTTTATTTAATACTAATTTACTTTCTCATTGCTTTCTACACAGGCAAATCCAAATGAACTAACAAATGGTGTTATAAATGCTGCCTTTATGCTCCTCTTTAAAGATTCCATTAGACTTTTTGCAGCATACAATGAGGGGATTATTAATCTTTTAGGTATGTGAAAATTTTTTTTAGCTTTTGAACTTTTGTTGAAGCTGTTAAGAGAAGTAAAAAACATAGACAGTTTGACTGTAATTTCCTAATGCATTGTCTCAGGTTCATTACCATTAAATTAAGCCCTTATTCATTTCAGTGACAACAAGCATAGCTTAAAACATACTTTTTTTTTTTTAATAAAACCTGAGGCAAGAGAATAAAACAAAGAAGAACTGGTGAGAATAAAACAAAGGTACCATGAATTTGCCGTGGGTACCCTTTGGCAACTGGACTGTTGAAGTATTATTGAGGTACCTGGTTTGGTTTCCTAAAACTCTGATGTTTGTTGGCCCATTGCAGAGAATAACCTTACCTATTTTTGTATGTTTAGTATAGTCACAGCATGACTGACTTCTGGCTTCCTGTAATTTCTTTATATCGTTACTAATCTTCTTTTAGCCAGTCCTTGAATCTACACAAGCACAGTACGTGTTATATAGGGTGTGGGATGTTTTTCCCCTCCGAGAGCTTGGTAAGCTCTTAGCAAAGATTTATAGTGAAGACTATTCAAGCAAATTTCTGAATTAAAATGTCATCTGATCTGTTTATTTCCCCGTCCCTTAATTTTGACTTGGTGAAATAGCTAAACCATAAAAATAGAGCAAAACCATAAAAATTGTCAAAAGAGATGGCACCTGCGTCCTTCAGGTCAGTTAAAGTTTATATACCGCTGCAGTTGTTATTCTGATGTCTTGGGTATTGTGTCCAAAGCATAATGGGTCTAAAAATGTAAACGTATACCAGGAATATTTTCCAACAATAAAATAATTTGCCTTATTGCCAGCTAATAAGCTGACCTCTTGAAAACATTCCCCCAAATATCTAATTGAACAGTTGAAGTGATTCACATTCATGATTAATGAAGCTTTGCATCATGTTCTAGTACACTGAAATAAGAAAAGCAGTATTTTTCTATTGTCTGATTTATTACAAAACGTATCAGATATTAACGTCCACTTTGAAACTCAGATAGCTTTAATGAGTTATTACTGTCTCTTCTCTCCCTGAAGCTTGTCTCAAATTAACATTTATAATTCTGTGCCAGCTTTTTGCCAGGGAGGGTGTTAACTTACAAGAGTGTTTTTCTTTTTTATTTGCGTCCTCAGAAAAATATTTTGATATGAAGAAGAACCAGTGCAAAGAAGGCTTGGATATTTACAAAAAATTTCTAGCCAGAATGACCAAATTGTCAGAATTCCTCAAAGTAGCAGAGGTAAATAAATCTACGCCTGTGCAGCAGGTATCACTTAGGCATCTCTTCTGGTACAGTGATACATACTCATAATCATGTAACTTCGCAAACATTAATCTGTTTGCTTAACTTTACTATACAAAATAAGTATTCTTCAGACTAGGTGTTTTAAACATTGTTTATGCTCATTAACGTGAAGTGAGATGCTAAGACATCCTTTTTGCTTGTTAAACAGTATAAACTTTTTTGTCTAAAGTGCTATAAATTTGAAGAGTGGTTCAAAATGAATGGATTGGATGTTGGTGCTTTTACAGTACTCTCTTTTACTGTAGTTGCTCAAAGGGGAGAAGTTCCCGTAAGCAATGTGGATATTTCCAGTGCTTCCAATAAGCTTTGCTTCCAATAAGCTTTTCTGCATGAAAAAGTTAGGTTGGATAAAAGTTTGTTGTGAGATGCAATGTATTTTAAATTTCTAAGGCATGTTCTTAGCTTAAACTTATGCCAGTTCAGAAAGTTACGAATATTCCTTTTTAATATCTTAATTTCTATGTAACATTCAGACCCCACGGTTTTTATTTTCATTGCCACTGCATGTAGTAATGTACTTTTTTTTTTCCCCCCTCCCGCCTTTTTTGTAAACCCAGCAAGTTGGAATTGATCAGGGTGACATTCCAGATCTTACTCAGGTCAGTGTACATTTCATATTGATTTAACCCAATTAATTTGTCCTTTGTGTTTTTAAAGGTTTGTGTGCATCATAATCATCATTCATCTTGAGGATGTATTCTGTTCCATATATTTATATATGGGAAATACATATGCTCACTTTTGTCATGGATCAAATGTACACAATGCTTAAAGACTTTAGAGCTGTTAATAAGATTTTTTTTGATTATTTAAAGCAGTAAAATTCACAGAAAAGTTTATGTAAGAACGTCTACTTTCTTTTTTTTTTTCTTATTACGAGAGATTCATTATGGCTTGTAAGTACATAAGCATCTTGCAATGTCTTGAGGAAAGCCTTCCATTTCACTGTAGCACAATGTCTTCCACTAAACATATAAAGGTTACTATTTGCTTGTTCAATGGAGAATCTGCCCTCCCCACAAGGTCTAAATAGATCATTTGAAGCCAGAATGCCCATACAGAAACAATACTGTTCAGTAACGTGAAGGCCGTGCTCGAGAATAGCTTGTGCACTGGAAAATGTAGTCTAAAAGGTGGAATGCAGGGGCATATCCTCTAGTGAGGATAAATTGAGGAGCAGAAGGGAAGTGAGAAAGATGGTTTGACTTGGTGAACAGGAAACATTGGTAGTCCACAAAAGTGTACAGAGCTATTCCGTACAAGTTCCTTCTGTTCATAAGAACACTGTGTTCCTAACTTAGGACCAACCTAACGTGACTGGGAGTACTTGGCATCCTTTCAGTAGCATAGAATAACCTGTCAAGAGAGGAGTGCCGTACAGTTCTAGAGTACTCAAGCTGTTGAAGCGAGCTCAGTGTGAAACAGTTAATCTAATGGGTAAATTTTCATTGTCTAAACCTACTCTATCTTCATGAAACTCAATTTCATAGGTTAATCATGTCAATATATATCTTTTGTGAAGATTTAATTGAATTTCATTCAGTGCTTTTAATATGGAAGTCAAATCTGAACTATAGGCTAGCCTCACTGTTTGTTATTTTCTATGATACAATTTGCGTCTCAAGTTGTACTTGTTTTACAAGGTATCAGTCTCTAATAATTGCTCTAGGAATTATTATAATATTAATCCTTTTCAAGCACTTTGAGGCCTTTGCAGTAGGAAAGAAATGTCTATAACCAGCAGGATGAGGACAAGTAATGAGCAAATGTAGTAGTGCAATGTTTCCTGTTACTATTTGAGTAGCTGTCAGCCTCTTTCTATCTCAGTTGTCTTCTGATCAGCACTGCCTGTTCAGCTGATGTCTGTATTATGCTAATGAAATTATACTGAAGTCTGAGATGATATGATGATGGATGATGTTGGAACGTTCATGGATGATGTTGGCTTGAACGCAGGGTTTGTGTGCTCTTGCTTTCCCAGTTAACTAGGTCGTTGCAAGGCTCTTCAAAACATGAGGTTTTTCTTGATTTACTAAAAATAGAGGACTTGCTTAACTTTGCTGCTTTTGTGTCTGAAATTTTAAATGAGCAAGACACCGTATATTTGCTGCTTTCGCACCTTACAACACTTCTAGTAGTTCAGCTATTTTGTTCTAAGTGTAGTTAGACATGCAAGGCAACTCTATGCGCCCTGGTGGACTTCAGTTCTTGAGGCATTTTGGCAATTCTGGTGCCATTATCAGTCAAGTATTCCATGGCACTTAAGAGTTGAATAATTGTAAATCAATTTAGTGCCATGTTGAAACAACTTTCTAAAACTTTGTAATACTAAGCATTTGAAAGAGCTTTAGTTTTCAGTGTGCTTGTAGTCCTGATTTAAGTTCTGGCAGGATCATAGACAATAAGTTGCAACAGCAGTCTTTTATTCAAATTCCGTCTACCATATTATGTATATATTTTTTTTCTAAATACTTAGTTGCTTAGGTTTCTGTTGTATGTTTTGTTCTGGGATGTGCGTATTTCAGAGTTCCTTTAAGCTGTTCCTGAAAACACTGAATTTCTGTGTAAAAGCTTGTTATTACTGCTGCTTATTGCTACTGCTGTATAACTTTTTTCTTTCCTGATTCTGGTGAATATTCACACTTTTTCACTACTAGGCGCTCATTTTTTTGTGCTTGAAGTGTTCCTGAACTCTGACCAGTAGCTTAGGTTGCTGACTGACATAAACGTTGCTAGCCTCCCCAATTTAATCATTCTTATTGTCTGCCTTCTATTTTGTTTTCACTTGAGACTTCCTTGATGTAGTCCTAAATAGTCAGTTTCCAAAAACGTAATGAAAATTGTATTATTTTACTTGGCTGTAGAAGACTTGGTCTAGCATTTGTACTAATAGTGCCACTGTTGCCAGTCCTTATCAAGGAAATAGCACTGTCCTTTCTCGGTGCCCCCGTTCCCAATGGCATTATTTTCTACTAGTTGTTGCTATATTTCATCAGTGCAGCAAGGTCACTTCCCTCTGTATGGGTGTTAATTGCTCAGATGTCTTTAGGTGAATTTTTTTCTTTTTAATTAAACACGGACTTTTTCAAGTCGTAGTATCTGTATTAACTAGGCATCTTTTTTGAGGTAAAACTTCTGTTCATACACAAAATTTCAGCTCTAATGTTTTGTTGGTTGTCTATAGCAACGAGAAAGTTCAGAGAAGAGTGTACCTTTCCAACTACCTTTCAGCTGGATAACGCAGTTACAGAGAACTTATTTGTCTATTTTCTTCTTAAGCCCTCTAAAGTATAGAACACACTTCCATACAGATAGATAGGTTTTAGTGTTACCTTGAAAAGAAATATAGACTAGAAGAAACTTTCCAGAGTTGGAGTACAGACCCCTGCTACTGGGATTATCTAGCTAGCTGTATTATGTAATGTCTATTGCAAACTTATATTTCTCTTGAAAGGTAAAAAGTTCTTTTTGGTCCCTGATTTCTTTCTGAAAAGGCATTTCAAAATGCTACCCTCTTGAGGGTTAGCTGTCTAACTTGTTGGCTGAATTTATTCACGTCCAGTTTTCTGGACATGTCTTCTAGCTTACGTAGCTCTATTTATGGAAAGAAGTATCAACTCAGACCTTTAAGCCAAGCAGTTTTATAGGATTATTGTAATTGCCTTTCTTCACATCTCTTGTACTTGAATCTAGCTTCATTGATTGTTGGAAGCCAGCATTGTACTTAGTGTTCCAGCTGGGGACTTGCCAAAGCCTTGTCTGATTAATAATTTTCCTGTTTCCAGGGCATACGTTGGTCTAGCTTTTAGATAGAAGGGCTAGCAAGGGCAAGTTTGTTTTTTCTTTTGAGCAATGCTTATCGTATTTATGCTACCTACTGAAAACGGAGGTTTAATGCCTCTTAAACCCTGCTAGTTGATGAGGGCTGAGCTGGCAAGTAGATTAAAACTTAGGAGATCTATTCCCTTCATCTGAATCTGCTGTAGACTTTCAATTCCCTCATTTTATGGAGGAGGGACTATATAGTTAAGACATGAGTAATGTGGCTGAAACAGCAAGGCAGTGAACTCTTTCAACAGTGCCAGCCTAATTGTTTTGTCTTTTGGAGGGTTTATGTTTGTGAGGGTGACTTGGAGAAATATTGCTAACTGCTAACCTGTGATCAAGATCAGTTCACACTTATTCTGAGCTGTTTTCTCTGGTATGGAGAAAATATTTCTATTAGTGGGTACAAATATATGGCAGAAAGGAAGCATGTTGTGATTGGCAGTGTGGTGGGTTTTTTGTTTTGATTTTTAGGAACTAAAACAATGTTGGCACTATTTAGTCTTTCTATTTTAAACTTGCTCTTTGTTACCCATCAGTAGTTAAGATTTTTTTTTTTTGTCTCAGCTGTTGAATAATGCCATGGCTGGGCTCCCAAAAGACTTCTGAAACCCCTGTGTGTTGTTCACCCAGTACTCATTTAGATGCCTCGAGTTTCAACTGAAGTGTCAAGCAAGACATTTGAATGCCAGACTTCATGCTAGATTTAAGTGGAATGAAGCCTTTTTCTTTTAATCGCTTTTGTTGTTTATAAAACGGCTTAATGTTAAAAGCTTCTCATGGGTTTCACCATTTCTTGACAAAAAGCTATAACTTTATTTGAAGTGATGCTGCTACTTTCTAATATGTTTTAGGCTACCAAAGGCTTTGGTGAAATTGAATTTGTTGTGTAATGATGTGTTGAATAGCTACTCAATCTATGATAGTATTGTTGAGACAAAACCTAAGTTAAAATTGATTTCACTTTTATCAAAGCTATCATCCTATTGTGGTCATAAATGTTTCCAATGCAAGCCTTTCCCTGTGAAGATTTGATTGAAAGAAAAAAAAAGATTGTTGGCTTTTTAATGTTATGGGAGGTGAGGAGGAACAAAAATGCAAAGGCTTCCTGTGGGTGCTTTTACAAATTTAAGAGAGTACTGTTTAATCACTTGATTACTGTTTCTAACTTAGCATAGAGGACACTGTTCCCCCACCCCACTTAGGTGTACAGGATGAAAACAAAATCTAAAGGCACAATTGTTGTGGGTTTTTATTTTCTTTCTTGAGGCTGGTGGATGGGAAACTAATCTGTGTACTAAACAACGATATGTTGTCTAGAAGCAGTGATTCATGATTACTTTAACTTTAGGCACCCAGCAGCTTGCTTGAAGCACTGGAACAGCATTTAGCTTCTCTGGAAGGAAAGAAAACAAAAGAAGTCTCTGCTGCCAGCAGGTGAGCACCAAGTGAATGGCAGTGATGTATTTACTTGGGTTTTATCTTATCACTAAGATGTTCCTGTATTCAACCGTTTGAGGTTCTCCTCTTGAATTTTGTTCATTACGAGTGTATCTTTGTACAAATATTAATGAAGCATATATCGAGTAATTATCTGACAGCTTACCTGCACTTGATGTGTATATATCTGTTGTGTCCCTCTCTCTCTGTCAGGCTTCTTACTATGCTGTAATAAACCGCTGAGCTGAGGCCTTATGTATTATTCTTCTTACCTTTTACCAGTTGGAAGTCCTCTGTCTTGTAAGACTTTGGAGGTATTTGTGTTGTAAGGTTGGAATTTTTTGCTTTTTAACCCAAGATAGGTTGGCATTTACCTTTATTTGTCAGTTATATACCTCTCAGACCATGAATTTGTGTTAACTTGTTACAAAAATTTCCAAGTCCCTGCTTCTCAAAACTGCCAACTTAGCTTAGATGTTTTGTGCTAACAAGTATCAGCTGAGTATCAATATGTATGAGCAGTACCTCTGACTTAAGAGGTACTGTGCCTGACTTAAGAGGAAGAGATCTCTCTTTGTATAGATGTTCCGCCTCAGAAACGTGGGTAAATACGGATAAACATATTGGTGTAACCTACATTCCTGAGTTGTTGTCGTGCATGACAGACTTTTGAAAAGAATCTGAGGATTTGCTTACCATAGTATTCTGCTAAAATGTAGTATGTGGGAAGAACTTCTGTGCTTTGTTTCCAGTTGTCTGTATAACATATACACGCAAGCTTTCCACGCCGCTGCCACTTGAAGGAACAAAATTCTAGTCTATATGACCTTTAAAGTAAAAACAAAACTGTTAAGTTCTGCACTTGCCAGTGCCTACTCACTGAAACGTGAGGCATCGTCCCTTCGCCACACTGCCTTATTACTGATGTCTACTTTTGTGTACAAAAGAGTAAAGTAAGAATAGATATGAAAAAAGATAAGACAGTTGATGCTTAAACAAGAAGTGATGTGCTACCTGCGAGTTTTTCTGAATATAACTTTTTACAAAATTATTTCTGCTTTTAGAGCTAGTGCCCTATCCAGTGCTGTTTCCACGCTTGCCAGCACAGGAATGTCATTTAGCAGGATGGATGAGAAAGAGAAGCAGCAGGCATTGGAGGAGGAGCAAGCTAGACTGCAGGCACTTAAGGTACTATATTTTTTTAAAAGATTGTATTCCAAGATTTTTCACTAGATACAGGTTAAAACTAGGGTTGATTTAAGCTAGTGCGTGTGGCAGGAGGACTCCAACCTTAAGAGAGGCAAAGACTTCACTCTGTAGGTAGGGTAGTTGCTGATGTATGCTGACCCTTCTACCCAGGAATGTAATTTGAATAGCTGGCAGCTGAAGTGGGTCACTTATATTCTTTTCAGGAGATTGAATTCTTTATCTCAAAGATCCATGAAATGGGTATACAAGAGTTCTAGGTCTTATAACAGCAGTTGAGCGCACAACACTTCTGTTATAGGACTGACTATTGCTAGATGAGAATTTTTTTCCCTGTGGAGTATGGAATGATGGTTTAGCATGATTCTTCAGCCATGTTGCTTGTAATGAGAACACAAGCTACTTTTCTGTCTGTACTTAACTGTTCTCATGTATAATTTTACAGCTTAGCTTGCAAAACCATTTCAAAACTTAGGTGTTTAGGTATAACTTGTGGCCTTAGAGTCCATATACACTTGAAAGAAAACCCCGTGTGTTCTCTCCTCTTGGTTCCTTAATGCGCTCTTTCCTTTGTTCACTCGTTGGTGCTTGTTGAGTTGTCCTCCTAGCAGCATCGTTCTCTTAAGGTCTCAGTCTTGGTCCTTCAGGTTTTTACCTGTTTATCGCTATTTCCTGAGGATGTGCACAGTATAATCTAGAACAGGACAAGATTTTTCTTTCACTGAAATCAGGACTGAACAGTTAGGACTCTCACTGAAATCAGGACTGAACAGGACTGAACAGTCCTGAGATCAGGACTGAACAGTTAATAAATTAATGAAATTAAATTTCAAACTGTGTATCTTATCTTTCAGGAGCAGCGATTAAGAGAGATTTCTGTGGTATCAAATTCCACTTCCACATCAGCATCTCCAAGTACCTTATCAGGAAAAAGTGTGAATACCACTGCAGCTGTTGACCTTTTTGCAGTACCAGCACCCACAACAAATAGGTGAGAGAGCGTTTGCTTTCTGAAGCAAGCATAAATTACATTGGCCAGGTAGCTCTGCAGTCAAGTGCGAAGCACAAATCCTAGTTATGGGAAGTACTCTTCACAAGTAACTTCTTGCAGATGACTTCCTGGTGTATTCACATGAGTTTTTTGGTATTACTTAAGAAGTGCTTAGTTACCTAGCCTTGTTCTGTACCATTATTCTTGACTGGCTCCTAGTGAACAGGAGAAAGAGGTTGGTATGAGTTAGTGTATAGAGCAAGAATACAATGCCTTTTACGTATCTTCATGTACCTCTCTCTCTCTCTCTCTCTCTCTTTCTCTCTCTCTCTCTCTCTCTCTCTCTCTTCCTCTTCAGCATGCCCAACCTTTCTAGTGATCTTTTTGATCTTCAGCCAGCATTTGTTCCAACTGTACAGAGTACTCCAGCTATAGCAACATCAGCAAGCAGTGCCTGGGGAGGTAAGCAGATACTGTGATTTGACTGTCTAAATGATGGGTAAATTCTTAGAGTACAAGAATATTATTTCCTGATAAAGCACGGGTTCACGCTTAACGTAATCTACTGCTTAAACCTTAATTATTCGGCATCCAAATGTTTCTATCCTTGATAGAGTATAAAACAAGTCATCTGAAAACTCCGGGAAACTGTCCCAGAGATTTTTGTCACTACTGTAATGCATTAAAAATAATATGCGGTGGATGAAATGAAGGAAGTGCTCAACAAAGGGGAGGGGAAGACTAATTGTAACCAACAATGAAAGTCCAAATATGCTGAGAAATATAAATGAAGCAGATGTAACTGAAAAGATGCTGTACTAGTATTTCCTTTCAATTAAGAGATATTTAATGCATTTTTCATTAAAAATATGTTCCTAACTTCAAGGTACCTATTGCAAAGGTGCTGTTCCCAGTTTCATAGGGATGGCGTTCTCTATGTCCTCACCCATTTCTCCAAAGAATAATCAGGATAGGCATCAAAAAAAAATACATGTTAAACTGAAATAAGGCAAATGGTAACACTGTTTACAAGTGTTAGCATTTTAAGAGATGGATCTGGTACGCTTAAGTGCTATATAAAAGGCATATTCCTAAAGCCTAAAAAGTAGCCTCTGACTGTTCTTTTTACTGGTCGGTGTTCTGTCCTTCTCCCCTTCCCACCCCATGGCTGTACTAGAATTATGCTTTCCCTAAATAGAGTACTGTTAGGCTTTTTTAGCTGAAACTAAGAATTTGTATCTTAAATGGGCTGGTCGGTAGGTGGAAAATCTACTGTTTGACTGTTAATTCTAGAAATTCTCATGTGCAATCATTTCAATCTATTTCTTCTCTACTATTTGTATTCTGTATTCTCTTTTCTTTACTTCTGCTGCATCTGAAAGGTCCTTTTTCGTCCTCAAATGGTTGTGTTGGTTCTCCACCTCATCTGGACATCTTTGACATGAAGCCAGTTGAAGAAGCTGTAAAATCTACCACCCCTTTCATCAATTCTACCTTTTCCTCCAAACAAACAGTGGAATGAAGATTGTTTTTAACAAAAAAAAAAAAAAAAAAGCAAAACCTAATTTCTTTCCAACTTGAGATAATACTACTAATAAGCTGTGTTGTGTAATCTTTTTGTAGTTTGAACCAATCTTTCACTTTTTGCTAGCAAGTGAAAATAGTGTATTAATTCCAGAGGTATTAACAAAACATGTATTTCCTTAAAGTTGTATTTCTAGAGTTGAAAGAATCCATTATCTTGTTCAACTTGCCCAAGCTAAGCATCCTAAGACTCATATCTCAGCTGGACTTTTTGCTAATTTCTGTTAAACTGGAGCTTTTTTTTTTTGGTGATGAGGAATGCAACAGTTAACTAACATTTTTCAAATTTGCTGAATAAGAATTTTCTTCTGTTCCTAAAACAACTTAAATAATAACTGCAGGCTTGATTTTTGGGTTTTTCCCTTCCTTTTCTCTCTTAATCTGATTTTGTTTTCTTCTTTCATTTTTTCATGAAGATGACTTTAGTGGTCATAAACCTGCATATACCTCTGTGTATCATCCTCTGACTGTTGATGGTAATTTGATTTTTAACGTTCTGGTTTCACTGTAACGAGTGGTATCTACTCAGTGGGTGTATCTGATTTACTCTGAATTTCTTGTTTAGGGTTTCCTCTTCATTCAGCTCCTCCAAGTAGCACCTCTTCAGCAATTAATGCGGACTTTGATGCTGTTTTTGGAGGAAAATCTACTGCACCAGAGTACAGGACTACAAGTGGTAAAAACTGCCTTATAACTAGTTTACATCCTGCAGACTACAGTTGCCTAACAGTTTAGCATAACTACCATTACAGTGCAGAAATTAATAAGTTAAGCCATTTGCAAGCTGAATAACATAGGGCTGATAAGTTAATGGACAATCAGTTTAATTGTAGTTATTTGCTTTAAAACTAGCTCTAACTTAATCTTATACTGTGTAATACCTATTTCTCTCTTTTTTGGGGGGAATAAACTTCAAACGTGGCCCATCGGATATTTATTAATTGGTAAGCTTATATTTGTCTCTTCTAGTGCTTAGGGCTTCAGCGTTTTCTCTTAATGTGTGATAATAAGTTCCCCCTAAGTTTGAGAGGTGTTGTACCTACAAATAAAATGCAAAGCTAGTTAAGTGTATACTTTGTATAAAGAATAACTTAATTATCATTCTGCTGGTTGATATTATTTTGCCTCAAAATTCTTGTGAATGTATAACAAAGGAACTCTTTTGTACATTCAAGATACTAGTAGTATCATGAAACTATGGCTATATTTGTTACAAGAACGCTCTGAAACTATCTTGAGTAACGTTTTTTTTTTCTCGAGTTTTAGGGGAGATTTAGCTTAATTTAAAAATACCACCAGTTACTGTTGAAGTAAAATTGGACAGTGTACTAGAATATAATACTCCAGAAAAAATGAGAGGTTAAACTATGCTTCTACTTAAGCCTTAAACACTTCTGGCATGTTGAACTTCTCTATATAAATACTCCAAAAAAAAAAAAAAAAGCCCCAAACCAAACAACCCCCCCCCCAACTACTGATAGTGTTATGTAAGGAAGATGCTTCCCTGGCTTATGGATGTCTTTCAATAAACGCAATGTACTGTTTTGGTAACAGCTATCTTTATGTTCTTGTTTTCATGTCTTGGTTTAGCTTTTACTCTTCTAGATGAGGTATTGCAACCCACAGTACCACCACAAAGTCAAAAAACTGCTTTAGCCAATCAGCAAAGTGGAAAAATTTTGGCAAATGATCTTGATTCTTCACTTGCTAATCTTGTGGGAAGTGAGTATGAAGCTTTAAAACTTTATTTTCCCATTTGTTACTGAAAACAAAATGAGATCCATTTCCCCCCACCTCGCCCCTGGACTAAATATAGTTGGCGATTTTGCGTGAATGTTTGCTTCTTTTCTCCCCTTAGATCTTGGCTTTGGAGGAACTCCATCCAAGAAGTAAGTTAATATATCTATTTAATACTCCCTGATAATCTGCAGTGCGTTTTACTGGCACTGACATAGTAAGATTCTCAGGTCTGGCGAGTAATCCGCTATCAAGAACAGCGTTGAAACAATTGGTTAATAGGGTCAGTTATCATAATGCAGGCAAACTTAACGTTTGAAGTAGTAAGTTTTAGGCTTGCAGTTGCAGTATTTTTATTTAAATATTTCTGTGAGCTGACATAAAAATATTTTGCGGTTATATAAAAACTTTTGAATCATTATATTGTACGGTGCGGTGGATGAGAGTGAGTTTATTTTTAATATAGAACAGAACTCCAGAACTTCGTACTCACTAGAGATACAAGCAGTTATTGAAATGAATCTTGACTATTTCTACCACCTGTAGATTTCAACTGTCTACATGTATTACAAAGCATTTTTCTGTTACTTGCTGGCTCTATGTGAAAACTGACATTACAGTTTCATTTTAGATCAGATATGCAGTGGACCCAGCCTACGGAGAAAAAACTTACTGGTGGAACAAACTGGCAAGCAAAAACAAGCACATCAACCACATGGAACCCTACTCCCTTACCCACTCTTCCACATATGGTAATTTCTGTGCTGTTGAAATCATACTTTGTTACTAGCAAATACCTTTTTCCCTTCATGCATTAATTTAAAAGAAATAGCAAAGGCTGCTTGGAACAAGACTGAGGAAAAACCTGCTTGCAAGATCACTTCGCAAACTGAATGAGATGGAGTTTTAGTATGCTTTACTTCCTCTCACAGTAAAACTTGTCCATTAAAGACCTCTTGCAGGGAGGGAAAAATCCAGCCTTTCACTTGTGGACAATTCTAAATCCATGAGACGTTTGTTTGTTTGTTTCAATTGAAACAAATGACCCTCTCAAAACACAAGCATTTCTTATCTCTATCTTTATTTAAGAGAGACCTCTTCCCTTCTTCCCTTCCCAACACGAAGATGCACGTTTAAGAATCCTAGGAACCTGTTTCAAGGCCAAATAACTACTATTCCTCTTGGGTTTTGTTCCCTTTTCTGTTTATTACATGGAAGGCTACTGCATCTTAACCTCCTCGAGGCACCTTAATTATCAGTTCAGGTAGTGCTTCAGAATTTCTGATCACGCTTAACAGCAACTTCATCATGCATCAGCAACTTCATCACGTTTTGAACACCAAATACTGGGTAAAATTTATAGAATTATTTAATTTGCAGAATGTTGGTTTTTCTGGAGGGATGTTTGTAGGCAACTGACTCTTTTGCTATGCTTTAAGAGCTTTTTCTGGTATTTTCTGTTCAAATATATTTGTGCAAATACAAATCACTTTCCTCCAAGGCAGCTGTATTTCAGAATGTTTACCTCAGCTTTACGTACAACTAGAGTAATTGCAGTGTTTGCTAAGAGTTTTGGACTGCTGTCTGACTTTATATTCCAATGTGAATAGTTCTGTCCCATATATCTTTTTGTCTTTTCTCCAGCTTATATGGGTGTGCTCAGTCAAAATTCATAGAACTGAATGGGCTATTAAATCTAGATTTGAACTTGAAACTGAAACCAAACAATTCAGATTAGAATTAGTTATTAGTTGTTAGAATTATTATTAGTTGTGCAGTACTTGTGTGATTTCAGGTTATATTTTGTGCATGAAACATTTGAGACCTTAATCTTTCTATCCCCTCTTGGTGCTCTAGAACATGTTATGTTAGAGTGCTGATGTATTTTGGTTTTTGGAAGATACTTATGTGTGAGACGCCGTAGCAAATATTAACCACTGTATGTTTGGGTTATGTGGTGGATTTTTTTTTTCTTTCACATGTTCTTGTCTAATGCTTTCTGGTTTAAGCTTATGTTTGAGTGCTTTATGCCATGTATCAGCTCACTGGTTTGCTAGGAAACCCAAAAGTTAATGATCCAAAGAACTACCTTAGCTATGAGCAGCTATCTTTGAAATCAGTGCCCCAGCACCTGGAATGGTCTGAGTGTCCTGGCTTGGTCTGTGGCTTTCAGAGACTGTAGTAATCCTCAGCCTCACGTGTAATCTTTCATAACGATGTATTTTAATTAGCAGTTCAATCTTTTTTAAATACAATTAATTAACACTACTTAATAATGCATGGCAGTATGAATTGCATGCATCATTGTGCCTATAAACATAACCTGGTATAAGTTAACTTATAACCTGGTTTAAGATGCTCTTTGTTTTTCTTTCTTGTTCTGAGTATTGTGATATATTGCAAGCATCAGAATTAAGTTTAGTTTGTGAGTAATTTTGGGGCTGATTAAACATCCATTGCTAGTCCTTTCTTGGGCTGACGGGTCACTGGCTTCCTTGTTTTCCTATACCTTTCTTGTACACGGGAGGAGGAGGAGGAGGAACTATTGCATGCCCTTGAAAAGCTTCTTGCCCAAATGTTCGTGCAAGCAATGTACTCAAATATGGCCAGATTTACTGAAAGTTCTATTTTTGCTGTGAATCTTGTAAGTAGTAGCCTCGTAAGTGGTGAGCCTATCAAAGTTACCAGGCACAGTTACTGATATTACTGTCCTTTTGCCTTTTTTGTTTTCCCTTCCCAACCCCTCTGAAATTGTTCTAATTAGTGACTTTAGCATAGTTGTTGATAGTTCTGGTACTGGACTTTAGTCCATCCTTTGGTTGGAATTTCAGTTTGACCTCTTAAATAATTTTCTGTCCTTACTCCTTTTGCCGTGCCAGAATCGAGTACATTATCCTGGATATGTAGGTCAATTTCTTGTTAAATGTTAGCTATTTTGAGTGTTAAAAATATGTATTTTGTACACAGCATTGCGCAAGTTACTAGTATGCATAAGCTTATCTAAAATGCATTAAATTTTTTTATTTTTTGATTGAAGGTACCTGCTCCTATTGCATACCCAGTGACCACACCTCAAGTGCCTGTATATGGAATGGTAAGGAACTCGACTGTTTCGTACTCCTGAAAACAGTTATACTTACTTCAGTGGATGTCATGCCAAGCATTATTATGTTTGATTTGTCCTGCCGCTTGTGTATTGTTTCATAAGGTCAATATTGTGTGAAACTGGATGGCTTTTTCACATTGTACATTGGAAGGCATTATTCTAAATTTTATACAGCAAGTCATCTTAAAAGCTGTGACTTAACTAACTCTGTGTATGTGTATCTATGTGTTTATTGGTTACTGTGCTTATAACGCAAAAAGATGTAGCTTCTAGAATCAAATGGATTGTTATGTACTACTCGTCTACCATCTCTTCTGTTTTCCTTGTAGGTACCTCCTCAGATTGGAGCTGCTCCTTTGATGGCACCCCAGTCAATGATGTATACACAGCCTGGTCTAAGGCCAACAAACCCTTTTGCACCTGTTTCTGGAACTCAGGTGAGCTGTTCTCTTTAATGTTAAGCTCATATTGAAACTTCAGTCTTCGTAAAGGAAACGAAATGTCTCGTTTCATAACGGTGTATTAACATCTATTTCTGTCTCTGAGAAAGTGAGGTGTTCCTCAGTCAGGGGCAAGAGCTTTTTGCAGGTGAGAAAGAATATACACATGATGAAAGCATGCAGGTATAGGAAGAAAGTAGAAATGGAGAGCAACAGAAACATAATGGCTGGCTTCTCGCTGTGCCAACCTTAAGCAAATGGGAGCAGAGAAGACTGAATCTAGAACTTAAGACTTCCTATGACATTAGTTGGGTACTTGGTTTAGTCATACTGACTGTGGCACTGGTGAAATGTTTCTGGAGGATTAGGTTCAACTGTGAAGCGAAGAAAGGCATGGATAGGAGACTATTCAAGTCAAAGGGCAAAGGGATTGCGGACTTCTGTCACCTAGATACGCTGTTCTTTTTTTTTTTTTTTTTTTTGGAAGTGACAAAACGCGCAGTCCCAACTTGCAGTTAACAAGGCACTTGCATAAATTCATACCTCCAAAACACTGAGAGGCCATGTGCTATGAAAGTGGCATTAATAACATTTAATCTCTACTTTACAGATACAGTTTATGTAAAGCCGCCAAAGCAGGAAGATATGTGAACAACCAAATACTGGTAAAAAGAAAAGACTGAATTTCATTCTTCCCATAATGTATTCTTGAACAGGGCAACTGTTTCTCCCCTGTATAATGTAATATTAATTTGAATTGCAGTGATTTAGAGAATCTTGTTTATAACAGTCATTGTGGTATGAAATCATGTTTGCTCATTGGTTTTTAGACTGTTCATTAGGTAACTAATCTTTGAGGTCAACTCAGCTTTGAAGATGAGAATCCAACTTGCACCTTCTGAGAAGAGGGTTATGTGATTGCTTTGCAATCTTATTCATCAGTGGATTGCCTGTAGGAAGTTAACTGAGAACATCATAAATCCTATTTATTTTTTCCATAAGTTCTGTGGCTGTTGTAACCAAGACGCAACTCAAATGAAGTTGAGCAATAAAACTTTCATATGCTCTAATAAATACTCTGATAGAGTAATGCTTGCATTATCATAAGGCCGATATTATAAGAAATCAGACAGCTTTTTCACATTAGAATAGCTTATAGTAATTCATAAACTCTATAATGTGAGTTTTAAATGCTGTGAATCAACAAGAAATATATATGTATATTTTATATATAATGAAAATTGCTCCATTGGCATAATGTCAGTGTTACATGGCTAGCTGAAAGGGCCAGGCTCTGACATGGGCTAAAGGTCTTGTCTCAGAGTGGGGAAGAAGTATGTAGCTTTTGTTACAGTGAAAGTATATACCCCAACAGCAGCAAATTGGAGCAATTAGAAAATCTTGTTGCTAACTGCAAAAGAGGCAAGAGAGGTAACTTGTTTTATTTTTAAAGCTCAGTTCATTAGTTCAAAAAAAGCAAACCTTGCAATAGTGCTGACACTTCCAGAACTGGTAACTATATTAAAATTGTTCCAGCCATAGAGAACAGCTTGTGCTGCTTTTCTGAAACAAGAACCTACTTGCAAACCATACAAAAGTAATTATTTTAAATGTGTAAATATATGGAAACTTTTAAGTAACCTTTTCTTTAATGCTGCAGTAATTCTTCTTTCTTCTGTAGTATTTTTAAGATGATAAAGCTGTAAGAAGAAATCCAGACTTCTTTTTTGAGAGGAAAATCTTGTGAATCAACTAATCTGTGAAGTATGTTATTGCTGACGGGTCAGATATACAGGCTTTTGATGCATCTTTCGTATTTAACAATCTTCCAAAATTTAGATTGGCTATGAAAATGCCTTATGTTGTATCTTTAAACACACAATAAAATGTGGCAGCACTTTTAAAAAAAAAAAAATTAATAATGAGTAAATGGAATCAGAAACAACCCTTTCTCCAGAAATTTGGTGGCAGAATACAATGAAAAACTCTTCTGTAATGTAGCTTCTACTGATGATGATTATTAAAGTTGGGTTTTTCAAAAACAAATAGTCACTACTGTTATGAACCTCCAGATTAGCGTGGCTTTTATCTCTTGGACGCTGTATTTGCAAAAGTATCTCTGAATCTTACTGTAAATGCAAATAGGCCTGAAAATCTTGTCAAATTGTCCTGTAGAGAACTTCTAAAATACAGTGGAAACAAGCCTCTCTTTTTGTAAATGCTTAAATTTTGTCCACAGAGTACAAAAGAAGTATTTCATAATAATGTTACAGAAATACTTTTGTCAAGCAAATTAGTTAAACCCCAACCCTTGAAATTGGTAACCACTAAACTTTTGGGAAATTAGCCTTGTAGAAATTTTAAGCTCAGACTCTGAATGTGTACTGATGAAAAGAACGGGACTGATATATAGCAATTTAACATTGAAATTTGAATTATAGAGGGCTTCAAGCTTTAATTCGCCTTTCCTGGGTCAAACAGTTATATGACTTTAAGCCAATGAATTATCTGGTGCCTGTGGCCACCTTCTTCGAGATGAGAGAATAGATGCTGTTTGGAATGGGTCATTGTTCCTGTGTGTGTGTTTTGGGGGTGGGAGGGTGTTTGTTTAAAAAATAGTTAATTCCATTGATATATATATATATATACACACAGTATTGAAAAGTCTTGAATTCAAATTAGACCAATACATGCAGTAGTAAGTATCTGAGCCCTGTCATAGCTGGGAGCGCTATGACCAGGCAGTGTCTGGCACAGTAAACTGTTAGATTTTTTCCATACTGGGTTGTATAAGCCATGATCAATTATTTTTAATAAAATATGTAAACGAGTACCTGGCAAACAGTATATATCCATTACAACTTTCTTGCAGTGCATTCTGAAGATCTGGAATGTGCTTACTTCACTCAGAAATGGATTTAGAACCAAGTACTGTTTGCACTTCTTAAACTCCTAATTTGCGGTAGAATTTTTTTCTAAATAGTTCTTTGGTATGCTTTCTTGTAGCAAAGCTGTCTGATACCAATTTATTTAGTATTAAAAAGGGAGAAACAGCCACAAAGTACATCCTAAAGACCTTGTAAACTTATAAATCTTATCTTTAGTCTCATTCAGAACGTTTGACACGTTAAAACACAGCTCTTACAGATTTATCCTTGTGAAGAAAAGATTGCTTAACGCACTTCTGTCCTTACGGAGGTGTACAGGACTGCTTTTTCTCAACCTCTTCCTTGTGGGCATATTGGAATGCACAAAAAGGACAAGTACTATGTTTTAAATAACATACTTCATATGTCCAGAGGTAAATGCAAGGACTTAGGATGCTGTCAAGGCTCTCATGGCTCAGAACTGGTTCTCCGAAAAAACAGATGGTAGACGGAGGTTTGTTTTAGAGGGTAATTGTAATAACCTGCAGCAATGGCAAATGCTGTGATAAGTGAAGCAGGGAAGAGATGTGTATACAGGCGACTTTCCCTTTTGTTCACAAACTCCTTTGGTCGGAATCCTGTTCTGAATGCTTCAGAAAGCCGATAACCGAGATGGGAGCCCGTTTGTGTGAACAAGGAAGAGGACTCAAACAACGCTGTGTGCTTTGCAGTATTGTACTTTAGTGGGTCATGCAAGCCTAACTGTTGGGGTTTAATGCTGCTACAAGGGGGCTCTCTCTCGTGGGATATGCGACAAAATATAACCTTTTGGGGAATTTGGGAAGGATGATTGTGTTAGGCCTGTTGGAATTGAAAGTGTACTTCTTTTTAAATAACTAGAGTTTTCTAATGTTCTTTAGATATAGTTTGACTTTGCCTCCAAGAAGTTACTGAATTTAACTTTTTTAATTTCGGACAAATTATGTACTAGAGAAATCTCAGTTCTGTGCACATAGTGGTGGAATACTTGTGGGTAAAAATAGCAAATGAACTTTTGTAAAACATTAAGTAACTTCTGACTACAAGATTGAATACAGGGTGAATCCACATCTGGGTTTTTTGATGTGCGGCAGGGAGGGTGGGGTTACAATTAGACTAGTACGCACTGTGGATCGGTGCTTAATTTGTACATAAAAAAACTTTTGTTTTGGGTAGTTTGTATTGTAAGGACAACATCTAAAGGCACTGTATTAGTCATTTCCATTTTAAAGATTATATTTTTGAGCAATGGAAACTGTACATGTTATCATTTATACATTTACTAGTAGCTAGGAATATAAAAAAACTGTTGCTATTACTCTGAAGATGTATTTGCTCTGTCATTGATAAGTACATTACTGCATCGCTATATGTGGATTCTCATGAGCGTTTATTTAAAGAGATTGTAGTAACTGGTACAGTTACAACACAAGTGGTAACATCAGATCTTTCAGTGTATCTCAAATGTGTGTAGCCTTGTGATTATGTTTAATCCTTCACCACATGTTTGGCTGGAATCTCATCTTGGAGCAATGACAAAAATAGGTGCTGGAAAGGATTTCCCCCACCCCAATCCACACTTTGCATTATTTATTTAATAGTTCTTGTTTTGTATGTTATGTTTTTTCCCCATAACAGGTTTGTGCCTTTATTGGATATTTATTTAAAAGGAGCTACTAAAACTTAAGTTGTTCGAGCTGTTTTCCAAATGTGTTCTTGTGTGGCTGTTCCTTTACGTGAGCTCCTTCATTTTAGAAGAATACAGAGAGTGTGAAAGATCTACTAGCCACAAACTGAAAAAATTGAGTGTTTATGTTCTACAGAAAAAGGAAAAAAAGCCTAAGCTAAGCACAAGACTAGTTTTGTTGATATTTTAACTTCACAATTTGTTAATACACAAACTTTTTTTTTTTAAGGCTGTTGCTCATATTCAGTCAATTGATGAAAGAGGTTTTGGAAAAAATAAACAAACTTTGGCACATGCACAGTGCGTGCAGTCATTCTTCAGTGTCTTCTCCAAAGGTTTCTGTAGTACCACTTATTGCAGCTGCAGTAGGAGGCTTGATTACACTGTTTCTTACAGCACCATGTGTGAATGTAGAGGCCTATTGTGCCGTACTGAAGTGATCGCTGTAGCTGACCTTTATCAGTTGGCAAATTATTCCAGTTTCTCTTTGAGAAGCAGCAACTTGTTTTCCCTCTGCAGGGCAATGGCGAAGAGGGACTCGGGCTGGGAGCAGAGGGGAAGACGCAGCTGGTTGTCTCGAATAGGTGCGAACTCGGAAGAGAAGGCGCTTGCCATGGCGGAGTAGCAAATCGACTTTCATCAGTGTGAAGTTAAAATACTTGGGGATCTCACCCTTTAGTACTCTCAGAAGCACTACGGTACAGGTGTAAATCACGCGTGTGTTGTGTGGAGGGCCTCACCGTCCAAAAACAATAGCGTGGCAACTTCAGCTGTGGTGGGTGCGTTGCTCGTAGCTGCTGCTGAGCCTTCTGATGGCTTTGAACCCCTCAGGCCCCCGAGGGGGGGAGAGGCGCATGTGAGCGTAGTTCAGTTGGTGTTGGCTTGCCTCAACTCAAAACCATTGCTTAACCCGTGTGTTTCAGCCGCGTGCCTGGAGGGGACGTGCTCATGCTCCCTCTCTCCCCTGCCCGCGTTTCTGCTTCTAAATGAGAAGCTTCGACGAGCAGCGTTTGTAATAGCTGCGTTTTTGTTCCATTTAGTTGTAGAGACTTGCTTTCAGTTAGGAGCTCGACAAAGTTAATAGCTTCTTGGTGCTGCATCACTGCCAGCTCCTGCTGTTCGGGCATTAGCTTTCTCTTGACGATGAAGCGCTAGGGCCGGGGCCAGCCTCTGTTTGCCTGGCAGCAGGTCGCGGTTGCTCCCCCGAGCAATGACTGCCGCCGC